CCAAAGTCGATGGTGGGGATGGCGAGGTTGCGCGTGAAATTGCTGCCCTCGGTGTAGGTGTAGGGGTAGCTGCCGTCGGAGAGGAGATCCAGACCAAAGCCCTCTAAACACGACTGTCAGTGTTTGCTGCATGGGAAGACAAGTTATATGGAAATGGGGGGACAGACCATCACCTATGCAAACCATATGCCGCTTATCCAACGACTTTATGTACTGGCTTGTCGACTTAATCCACTGGTACAGCACCTCGGTGTCGCACCCCTTGCATCTGGGCTCATTGGCCAGCTCCCACGCAAAGACTGCTGGGGAGTTGGTATACCGCGAGACCACGGCGCGGATATACTGCCTATACGCCTTCTGGATGTTCTCGTTGGAGTAGAACGCATTGTGGTCCGTCTCGCCGTACGCCTTGACATACGCGTCCATCCCGCCGTAGTCATCCCAGTTGTTCACGAAGTTGATGATGAGCTTGATGCCGTGCTTCTCCGCCGAGGACACAACATAATCCAGCCGCTGGAGCCCGTCCGCGCCGGTGTTGATCGTCGACGTCCCGTTGGCGTGCAGCTGGTAGTACACTGTCCCCGTGCCTGGGACCGTGTTGACGTCGTTGAAGCCCCAGACGCGCAGGATCTTGAGCCCGGATTGCTTCATGTGGTTGAAGACGAGGTCGACGTCCGCATTGTTGGTCAGGAACCCGATCCAGTACGAGTTGGAGCCGGCGAAGTAGCCTGTTTTGCCGTCGATGGAGAACTGTAGGCCTGACGTGCTGGCGAATTTGGTTGCGCTGGGGGCGGCTAGAGCCATCTGCCCCCAGAGGAGGCTGGCCACAGTCAGAAAGGAGAACTTCATCTTGTTGTTGTGGTTGATCAGATATCAGACACATGGAGAAAGTCGAGTTAAATAGTCGATGGCTAGGCTCAGTTTCAGCGACGGCCCGTTCCCCGTGTTCCCCGTGCTCAATTCAGCATACTATCCATCCAGAGGTGATTGACTTCAACTAGAAGATCGAACGGACCTTTCCAAATACATTACTGAGTAATTGCGAGCTGTGCATCCGTGATGGATGCGGAAAGGTGGACGCCACACTTGCACATATGTATTGGTGGACTCCTCGGTATTAATGAATCCTTGAATCGGCAGACTAGCTTTCTCCAGATAATTTCTCCATGGTGATGAAGTCAATTGGTCTGACGAATATGGAGGTTCCCCGCATCGATCGACAGGCACCAAGACTTTAGGCACGGAGCAGGCCGTCCCCGTGTCAAGAAGGGAATGGCCATTCCCTTCTCCACATATGCCTGGAATCCGGATCTTAGGAACTTAGAGAGAGTTACGTGAGGATTTAGGCCTGCGTCAGATATCTATGCTAAACGCTCGATGTGTCATGAGTGAACATGAATTGACAGTAAATTCAGGCAATGTTAATCAGACAGAAACAGCTACTTCACGACATACAAACTACTTCCAGACTCGATGTTGCACCTCCTAAACATACCGGGACACTGGACAATCACTCACGAATGGGGCGCCAGGTGCAGTCAACCCTGTTGCAGCACTGATCCCCATTCTTCCAAATACAATTATTCACATCCGCCTTGATATCACACGGCACCTCAGTCAACTCAAACGGCACACACATCTGCGGATCCTGCGAGTAGAAGGTCATGGCCGGGATCTCCGCCGGACAAGCAGGCCCAATGCCGGCAGAAAATCCACCCAGACAGTACTTGCCACAGGGCCACTTGCTGAGCACGAACTGGCCCGCGTTGGCGAACGTGGGAGTCCGCCCGATATGCGCCCCGTTCTGCGCATTGTTAAGCCACTGCCCTGCATTCGCGCCCGTCGCGACATCCCCGTACAGATCCTTGATGTAGGTCTTGTCGGAGGGGTTGATGGCGTGGCCGGGGGTGCATTTCTCATCGCTGCAGAGCTGGAACTTGCCGTACCGCTGGACCATGCTGTCCGGCGCGGCGTAGTAGACTCCGTCGTTGCGGAGGCCGAGCCGGTTGCCGTTCTCGGCGGTGAAGGTGTAGCATTTTCCTTCATCGGGACCCGTTAGCATAGCAAAGTGTCAGGGTAGACGTGTGCATGTACTCACCACTTTCCAGCCCAGACGAACAAATCGCCTTCTTCCTGGTCTGGCAGGATCCGTCCTCCGCCTCGATCATCCCCTCAGGGCAAACACACTGCCCGTTCACAAGCAGCTTGCCGTTCTTGCACACCTGCTTGCACTGCTGTCCGTCAAAGGAATACCCCGTCGGGCAGCAGTGGTAGCCTGCCTGCGGCGAGCCCGCCAGCTCATGACCCTCGGCGCAGCAGTCAAACGCCGTCTCGGGACTACCGAGCAGCCGCTGGCCCGCCAGGCAGCAGGCAAAGTACTTCTTGTCGGCGCTGAGCGTGGGCCCGGTTCCGGGGGCCTGGCAGGTCTTGGTCACGATGCAGTGCATGCCTGGGTCACAGTCTGGATCATTGTACTCGATTTTCTGGCCAGTGATGTGTGCATCAGGGCTCACCTCGAAGGTGATGACGTTTTGGCGGTACACTTTGGCCTGGAGGGGGGGAGCCTGCAGGAGCAGGGTAACCAGAGTAAGAGCGAGGGTCTTCATAATGATTGATTGCTAGCTAGAGCTCGAATGATGATGTATTGGATATTGCTCTGTGATGATTGAGTGTTCCTGGCCGTGGGTTTTGCTCCCTTTTATGCCTTTCGAGGCACTGCACTTTGTGCACTTGTAGCTGGTAGGAGTTATGATGTCCTGACCCTACCCCTGGTCCGTTACCTAATAGCAACTCAACTCCTGAGGGCTTGTGACGTTCCCGCCAGCCACTCCTCAGTCTTCCCGACGCCCATCAGCTACGATGATCCAGCTATGACAGGCTCGACCTTGATCGCGCGGCAATTGATTGGTGTTCTAGTGATCAACTGGTCGATCGTTCCGAAAGACGTAGCTGAGCTTCTGTTGTATGCATGTCTAACTGGTCATGACAAGAACTGACCGGGCGAGCTCCGCACTAGACGTGACACAGCATGAACATCTTATGCAGTGTGACGAGGTTTGACGGATCACATACAGCTTCAATCCGGGCTGGTCCGTCTGGATGCAGCGTGCCTGGGCGGAGGTACCTGATGTCGCCACGAGCAGTTGCATCATGCTTGCTTGACAGTGATGCATCGATTGAGCTCATAATGAGTATGTGGATGCTGGACATAGGACATACATTCTTCAATGACTCAATGTACAGTATCAGAGCGACACAGACAATTTTGATACCCGCCGTCGAGGAGTGTGACGAGGTCAATCGCCTCGCAGCTGTCAGCTCTCAGCTAGCCACTGCTTGCATGACTTGCCTTGTCTCAGTCCCGCCCCATGAATCCAATCGCTATCAATTGCCAGGGCGAGTGCAAGCTGAAGCTACTGTCATCAATTCCGCAGGTGTCTCAGTCAGGATCGGCACGCTGCAGATGGCGCTTCGTATTTATCCTATCGCATGGATCAGGTGTTCGAGACTCGGCTTCATCTTGTGTGGATGCCTATCTGCACTCGATCCTTGGAAGTGCGAACCTTCGGCAAAAGGTACATCTGCGTGCAGATCAATGGTTGCCTAGGTGGCTCCTTGTCAAGACTTCAGCTCCACGATGCGGGGCAAGTACCATCTGGAGGATCATCGGAGACATGGCTAGATTGACAGGTCGTCGAGTGTCGGCGGCAAATGATCGGCATTGGCGGCTTGATGAAAGTACCGCGAACTTCGGCTGGATTGGTTCCTTTCATCCTTGGAGAACTATAGTTGATCTAATATAGTCCAGGTAGATAGCAACACTAACAGTGGTTTGTACAAAAAGAAACCATTTCTTTTTCTACTGTTGCTCTATGTATTACCTACTGCCACTACCTCCACGATATTCAGCAGCATGTAGGTATATTCGAATATCTAGTTGTCATAGCGTGGATATTAAATACTTCCATACTTCGAGATATATACTTTGAATATGCAACACCACTGATACGCCCACATATATCAATATGTAGATTCTAATTATACAGAGTATTGCTATATGAAATCTCCACAATATAATCTGCGTAGGGTGGGGTATGTAACCCATGTAAAATCTCAGTGAGTTTCATGCACAAACAGAGCACTATATTAGTGTTTGCTACCACCAACTAACCTACATTAGTTTAACTATAGTTCGCCCAAGGACACAGCAGTCAATAAGGCACGGTGACGTCAAGTGGAGCATCGTTCAATGTTGCTATACTTAATACTCCGTACATAGGGGGTCCTAATCGAGATGAATCGGCCAAGGCATGATTGCTCTGGAGGGGAGATAGCCAGTCTTCTCTAGACGGGTGTTAATATATATATAAATTCTTCTGGGCAGTAATGCCCTTGGAACATACCTCTATTGTCATAGCGTGATTAAGAATGTCGAGCAGGTTACGATGGTTTATAAAAGGTGGTTACTTGACCTCGCATCTCTTCATTCTTGACAAGAAGCCCAATGAACATATTGTGCTGCTTTGACGTTCACCTTAAATCTACCCTTTCCATACAGTGTTAGGCGCTCGCTCGGCGTTTACTTGAGTATTACTGCAATGCTTGATCCGAAATGTCGTTCCTCTATATATCTATATGTTCCATACCGGGTCCAGTTATATGAAAATGGGATTATCTGCTAATTCGCTTACGGTCGCTAGGCCATACGTCAGTGGTATAGCTGCTAATAATAGTCATTAATACTATAAATAAGAAGCTAGGAACATATGAGGCCTTAGAAAGCTCCTAATAGTCATTGATCACTATCAATGGGAAGGTGGTAGTATGGGAGGCCTTACTCGGGACTTAGCAAACTGCGCTCGGGAGATACTAAACCCCGACGGAGTATGCTACAGATTTGACCAGGGTATATAAAGCGCCTTCTTGACAGTCTTCTGCTCACCCTCGCAATAGACTACAAAGAACAATAATCTCTTCTGAATTCATCATCTATTTCTACGATGTCCCCCAGAATCGCCATCATCGGCGCCGGCCCCGCAGGCCTGACTCTCGGCGCCCTCCTCCACAAACACTCCATCACATTCACCATCTTCGAGCTGCGCCAGAAACCAACTGATGAAGAACTAGCAAGACCATCCGGCATGTTGGATGTCCACGAAGGCTCCGGCCTCGCAGCCATCCKCGAATGCGGTCTCTACGACGAATTTCTCAAGCACACAGGCGACTGCGCCGAGACGCAAAAAATCGCTGATAAAGACGGCAACATCCTCTACAACGACGAAGACGACGACAACAACCGACCAAGTGACCGGCCTGAGATCGCCCGCCACGCTCTGTTGGCTATTCTCGCTACCAAAGTACCAGCAGACTCCATTAAATGGGGCCACAAGCTCCTCTCCGCAACCTCCACCGGCGTCAGCACAGAAACAGAGCTCGATTTCGGCCCCCACGGCAAACACAAATTCGACCTCGTCATCGGCGCAGACGGCGCGTGGTCAGCGGTCCGCGCTCTCCTAACGGATATCAAACCGTACTACGCAGGAATCCAAAACATCACGTTGACTATCGAGAACATCAGCACGCGGTACCCGCACCTGGCAGAGCTGATCGGCAGCGGGAGTTTCTTGTCGCTTGGGCTGCGGCATGGGGTGATTACGCATCGGGGCCCGCGGGATTCAGCGAGCGTGTATGTTTTCCTCACGGCGGAGGAGGGGTTTGGTGGTGAGGGGAAGCGAGTGGCCAGCGTAACCAAGGAGGATCTGCTAAATGACGAGGCCCTTTTGGGAAAGTTTGGCGACTCTGTGAAGGAGTTGGTGGCTGTTGGTGTTGCGTCCGATAAGACAGGGGACCAGCCTGCGGGAGCGGTTGATGTCAAATCGCTGTATATGCTGCCTATTAGCGCTACGTGGGAGCACAAGGCTGGTGTTACCATTGTTGGGGACGCGGCGCATCTGATGTGTCCGTGGGCGGGTGAGGGGGTTAACCTTGCGATGTGGGACGCGCTGTTACTCGCGAAGGTTATTGTCGAGGCCTGGGAAGCTGGGCAGGATGCTGGCCAGTTTCAGACCGTGCTGGATCCCTTATTGAGGCAGTTTGAGGAGGATATGGTGACGCGCGCAAAGGAAAAGGCGGAGGAGACGTTTAGTAATGGACAGATGATGTTTGGGGAGGATGGGGCGAACGGCATGGCCCAGTTCTTCTTGAGCATGGGGCAGGAACATTGATTGACTATCATAACTGAGCGATCCGGGTATTTGGTTCTATTGGTTAGGAAGTGAGCGTGCAGTGCTATATACAGGTTCATAGATAATAGCTAATCCTCTATCAAGAGAGATATCCCACTTTTGAAAAGAGTGCAGATGTATCACCATTCGTAGTATGCCATGATGCAGAGTAATGCACAGTAGTTTCAGGCCAGAATGTTCACAAAGGCCCTATTTATAGTTGGCCAGAGCAAGAGACAACCTATATCCAAGCTCTCACACCGACCCATAAAACTGAACGTTCTTAATCCCTGATATCAACTTCCACATCCAGCAGTCATTCTGCAAAATACGCAAACGGCAGCAACTCCTCCACGGGCACAATCCTTGCCTGCCCCCGGTCAAGCACAATGACCTTAATCCCCGGCTGCAAATCAATCAACGTTTGCCGACAGCGTCCGCACGGGCTGATGATGCCTCGGTTCTCGTTCGCCACTGCAACGATATGCGTTAGCTGCGTGGCTCCAGCCGCTGCAGCAGAGCCCAGAACCACGATCTCGGCGCAGGGCCCGCCGGTAAAGTGGAAGACATTGACGCCGGTGAAGATACGTCCGTCTGCTGATCGCGCGGCGCTGGCGACACTGTAGATATCGGAGACGGGGATGCTGGTTATAATTGATGTGGCGGCGTCGACGAGGGTGGTTTCCTCCGGGGTAAGGGCCATGATATTGTAGTTTGTTGTGGTTGTTGATTAGAACACAAAGAGGAATTGTGTATTATGAGATATTGAGGATAGATGCATGGTGTGCTGGAATGCTGGATGTTCTGCTGTCATTATAGTTCTTTGGTGATGGCGGGCTCCGGATTGGGAAAGGCGGTGTTCCACTGTTTATAGATATTAAATATAGTAAGGATATTGACTATATTTTTATCTGTATATAGGAGAACGGATTGGCCTCGTATATGATATTACTTCAATATCCTTGTTATACGGCATGTGATATACGAACTATACGATATTCGATGGCCTTACTAATTGCATGTGATATTTAACCTACTAGGAGAATTGATTGTGGAGGTAGTGGCAATAGGTAATACATGCAGTGAACAAACAAATCAATAGTGCTGTATTGGGGATCGCCACAAATTGATAGAACTATTCAGGATTGCCAGATGTAGTCAGTGGCTGACTGATTGCGGGCCGTCTATTTATCAACGTGCAGCAAGACTAACCTCAGAGATCCTCGGGGTCAGCGCTGTAACTACCATTCGTTGTATAGCACTTACAACGAACACTGATCGTCAGTTCTGGGCCCGCAGGAGCTGAAGGATCGGCTTATAGGTTTGCTTCTCGCAAGCCTCGATCTGGCTTGAGCATGGACACATAAGTACTGCGGCGTGGAACTTCCAGGTCTCGTAAGCCACCCAGCAATTGGCATCTATACGCTGTTATTTCTTCAACATTGCTCCCCAAGATACAATCACAATGAGAATCTGTATTTTGCAGTCATCCTACAAAGGATCGGATTCCGCGCTGCACGACGTAGACGACAAGCCGGCCCAGCCAGGGCTCTTCACAACCGAATATACCTTCGAATACCGCTTCATCCACAAAGCCACTGCCAAAGAGGAAATCGACGCTCTAGCAGCCGAGGGCTTCGACTTCTATTTCAACTTCATGTGGGGAGCCCTGGAGCCCGTCGCGGGCGTCCTAGAAACCCGCTATTTCGAATCCCTGAATCTTCCTTCCTGTGGTATACGCAGCTGGGAACGCTCGATGACCAAAAACGACTTCTACAAGAATGCCAGACGCCGGGGTGCGCCGCCGGTGCCAGGGACCGATGACTTCCCTCTATTTGTCAAACCGGCGAATGGATGTGCCAGCCAATTGAATGACGACCAGTCGGTCTGCCACACCAGGAAGAGCTGGAGGGCGCGCTCCGCCGCATCAACATGGGATTGTATGACGCTCGCGTGAGACGTGCCGAGACGATGGGCATTGAAGATACAAAGGCCTATGCTTAATCGTACAACCCAGTCGGGCGCGATAGTGATGATGTCGTTCAAGAGTACATCGATGGGGAGGACTATACCTGCACCGTCGTTCAAATGGGCAGCGCTTGTATTGCCTTGACTCCATTCAAGGTGGTCACAAAGGAGATACCGAGGACGGAAAGGTTTCTCACATTCGAGTTGAAATTCGATGACGAGACTCGCATTGAGCTGTTACGAAAAAAAGGAAAATCCTGTTTTGTTCGAATATCTCCAAAAAGTTGCCATCGAGGCTTTCATGGTCAGCGGATGTCAAGGCAGCAACATGGGCTGCGACGTTGATCTTCGTGCCCGGCCTAATGGCGACGTTTTCGCTATCGAGATCAACCCCCAGCCTGCGGCTTTCATGCCTGAAGGGCCATTCCAGGATCTACATATCATACACAGCCTTCCTGGAGGATACCCGGCGGTCATCAATATTTTCATCGCGAATAATCTCCTTCGAAACGCAGCGAAACAGGGTGTCTCGGAGAAGATTGCTGCCACGTACGATGGCTTAGCTTCGAAATACGACACAATTCTCGTCGAGTCCACCAAAATAGCGGTGGCTATCAGCAACCTGACAGACACGTATGACTTTGGCGGAACCGTCTTTGATCTGGCCTGCGGCACAGGTGTCTTCGGGCGTGTATTGGCAGAAAGCAACCCCACTGGACCTATTCGTTTGCTGGGCTTTGACATATCCTGCAAAATGGGAGACATCTGCCGGAGCACCGGTGTGTATGAAGCCGTTCATATCGAGTCCATGGAGAAAGCTCTCCTCAACTGTGATCGCTTTGCCGAGGGTGTCGACCATATAGTCTACTTCTCAGCGATTCACTTCCTGCGCCCTGAGATATTCGCATTTGTTCTGGTCCTTTCCTTCACCCTGGCCAAGAAGTCCATTACCATCAGTGTCGATAAAGTCCTTAAAGTTTACAATCAAAAGCTCGAGGAAATTAACGTTGGGCACATGCATTCGTGGAACCACTTTGCCAGTATACTGGCATTCGGAGAGCCACCCAATTGGCGCCTGACGAAGAGAACCAAGCAGTATTCTTGGACATCGCCTGCTACAGGAGATAAGATTTATACTAACTATTTCCGATTCGATCGAGTCGGAGAAAGTCAAGATCTGATGTTCAAAGGGCCTGAGGTTCCTAATTAACTGAGTTGTTGCAGTAATTTGCCTGATTATCATATTGTGAATGAAGTCCACATCGTCATGATGCTGATTCTGTACGAATGAATCTCTTATACTATTGTAGACAGAGATTAGACACAGATTTCAATCCGCGACAGGAACTCGCTGAGAAAGGTCAACACTTACAGCCACTTATAGAGAAGTGCTCGACAGCATTGACATGAATCATAGCCGAAGCTTTTGATCACACACGAGATTAATATCATTAGTGCAGTGTGTGACTGTAGGAAGGTGGGAGTGGTGAGGTCTCATTATTATAAAATCTTAAATTTCCTTTTGGTAAATAGCTCGCGATATAGAAAGACCGTCATATGCTTCAAAGGTCTTTTGTGCTAGCTATGGTTCTGATATAGGGAGAGTTCCAGGGTATCTACATTCGCCAGTCAGTGATCTGACGGTGAGGTTATACATGTCACATCACCATGCAGGACTGAAAACTGAGGTGCATGTCTATGGACTATCATAGCCTAGTCAGCCAAAGCAGGGGAGCTTACAGAAGAAAGCTTGGTTAGAAATCCAAGCTATATCCAATGGAGAAGCATTCGTGAATCCATTCTCAATTGGTTCAGTCGTTGGCAATATCAAGTGCAGCCACGTTTACGGATATTGAACGCCAAATACTGATATCCTCTAGCAGCTGATATTGACCCCTGCAGAGCACTACACTAAATACAATGATCTGGATTCCCAGCCGGATTCCCCCACCACGTCGGAAACGGATGTTCCTGCCCACTGGCCCCAAACACCGCAAACGAGAGAATAAAAATCACAATCTGTGACCCCCCGTCCAACGCCGCCCCAATGAGGTAGTTATACTCATTGTAAATGCGCGGCAGCCGCCGCCGAAGCCACACCTGCGAGAACACCCCCACCGCAATGGACGACCAGATCCACGACGTGATGCCGTAATAATTCTGCGCCCCGGCGAATGAAACAATCATTGCGGTATTTAGCGGCCAGGACCGCATCCGGGGAATGACCCTGTTAAGCCCCCAGTGCAAAACCGGCAAGGCAAGCCCGATGAGCAGACCTAGTGGGACGATGAGATACCGGCCGTTCACGCCGTAGACGTCTCGGGCGAGCGCCCAGGTGATAGCTTGCGAGTTTAAACTCTGCACGGTTGACCCGCTCCAGACGCTGTTTCCTGCGGGGTCGAGGAGGATATCGCGCTGATTGGAGACGATGGTGGTCATGACGGCGTAGTTGAGGCCTGCGCCGAGGAGGGTGCCGTAGACCTGGGTGGCGAACATGATGCGGTGCGGGATCTTGGTGTACTGGCCTACCTTGAGCCAGTTGGCGAGGTTCACGGAGAGCAGGATGACCTGGTGGGACCAGCTGGCGAAATAGAGGTTTGCCAAGGGGCGGCCCGGGTGGACTGCGCCCGCGACCATTTTCGAGAGCTGGTTGGTTGCGACACCGGTGCCGTAGAGCCCGTACAGGATACAGGAGAATGGGGCGATGAATGCGCCGAGGAGGAGGGCGACGATGTAGCCCCATGCGGGGAGGGTCGTTTCGCCCTTGATGTTCACGATGAGGCCTGCGAAGAAGGCGAGGACGAACAAGGCGAGGTACCACCACATTGGGACTTCCTTGTACTTGAGCATTGCCTGGTAGTGTGGGTCGGGCTGTGTTCGATTGCGCGCCTGCTTCCAGGCAATGTACATGTCCTTGCCGTAGAAGATGAGGACGTGGGTGATGAGCGCGCCAATGGCGAGATTCTGCGTGAGGTAGCCCCAGACGGTGCTGGAGGTGAGATAGGGGATTCCCACTTCCTTTAGCTTGTTGTAGTCGATTGTGCCTTTATCCGTGAGGATGGAAGTGGTGGAGAATTGCTTGCCATTGCTGTTAAACAGAGAGGTTGACATGAATGGGAAGGACTTTGCGCTCCATGTATTCCCGTAGTAGAGACCCAACATCACAGGATAAAGGATCGCATAGCCGATCCAGCTGTTGAGCTGCTGTTTCAGTGGCAGTGACAGATAGGTGCTCTGAATATACTGCCAATCGAAGCCGAAGTTCAACAGACCCAGGCCTTCATTAGCTGACGCTCCCCCAAACACTTTCGAAAAGATCTTCCGCGTATGCTGAGGAGCGTTCATCGAGGCCAGGCAGAAGATCGAGAAGCCCCCGAACCAGGTTATAATATACGCAGGAAAGATCTCCCAGACGGCAGCAAGTCCTAGAGCCCATCCGAACTTGATCAACCGGCCCCGGTTGGCACGTTGGTCGAAATGGAGATTCTGAAAGAGCACCACCTGTGGAAGCGTKGTCCAGTAGACCATTTCCGCTGGGTAGACAATCAGCGGTCGAAGGAGGCCAGCGAGCACAAAGCCACAAAGTGAGATGGAGAAGGTTCCCAGCACTGCGGTCGTCGCCGACACGCTGATATTGTAGAACAGGCGCTCGACGGCGTACACTTCCACTCCGGAAAGACCATTGTTACCCGATGAAGCAATAAGAGAGGCAACGACATGCTCTTTGATGCCGAAAGGTTGTCCGAAGTTCAGGAATTCGAGTGTGCGTTGCAGCCATTTCCAGCGGAATCTGTCTGGGCGCGGAGTAAACAGAGCCCACGCCTGACCAACCACATACACCAGTACTAGAACAGATGTTACAATCAGTAGACAGAGCTCGTTGGAAAATCGACCTACGCTGTATGAAGATTGCAGACACTTGCATCTGCGTGGGCTTAAAAGTATAAAGCATCGTGATCACGCTCGAAAACGCGGTGAACGCTGATCCCAGGACAATCGATCTACAGGTCAGTGCAGGATCACCGTCATCTCTCACAGAGACGATAAACTCGGATACATCAGCACCTGCTGGGGTTAGTCAATTGCCCTGCAGCTGTGTAGATGAAAGCTCACCATTTCGAATGACGGGATGTCCCTTGACATATTCAGCTTTGTTGGGTTGAGAGCCCGGTGATTCTGCGCTCTCAGTTTCTTGAGCGACATCTTGTGCTTGTTTCTCAAATCCACCCTTGTACGGCTCATCTGCTTCTATACTTTTGTCGACCGCCGAGGCGGTCTTGTCATCCATCGTATTAGCACTCAGATATCCTGGGACGATGTGTCAGATGAGGGCAGACGAACTATTCATATGAGTAGAAGAGGAATCGAGAGAGGCGATCAGTTATAACTGCCACGTTACATCCAGCATGCACGGAGGAGGGGTTGGGAGCATACAATCCTAAAATGTCGCCATTGGGGCTAATGCAGCCAGGATTTCTTCTCGACAAATAAGCTCCTACACCTATTACTTTGAGTTGCATCGGAGTGTTCCCTCTTAATCTATTGAGATTAAAAGTCTTCTTGCCATTGATGGAACCATATTTCACCACTCACGCTAAATATCGCATCATTTCTTCATGCGGGATGGGCCTGCTTTATTTTACCTAGCGCCTAGTTCTTGATCTCCCGGAATTACTTAGACCCAATAGGATAAGCCAAACCACTTTATATACCTTCGGAGATCTAGAAATAAGCACTTTGAGATGAGACAATAATACGAGGAGCAAATGACGTCCCTTATACAAGAGGAACGCATACAACCTTATACCATAAAATTATTATGTCCCTGTAAATGCCGCTTGCCTCTCTGATAGGGCTCCTTCGAGGGCCACTCAAGATGACTAGTATTACTGAGGGCTGCATCTGAAAGCCGTCTGGGTGTAGTGCAGCCTGTAAGACGTCCTCGCAGGTCCCACTAACTATGTCCACTTATTCAATGCGATCTCCTGGCATCTCTTTCTTCAGTAACCATTTCGATGTACACATGGACTTCTCCCACATCTGGCTTTGAGCCAGTAGATTGGTCCTCGAGCGTTGAGGAAGCTTGCCATGAATGAGGCGGTTAACCACTACCTAGTCCGACAGGGACGTTCTGAATGACAGGTAGCAGATTCTGGTCAGCTTGGTTATAACATCATATCAACTGTCTAGACAGCTTTGTCAAGTTTTAGGATGGGTATAGAGTGTCTTAGCTTCTAAGCCTTTCCATTGTGGTGACTTCTGAGATAGTGGGTATAAATAAAGTTATATATCACTAATGACGACAGAACTATTAAATCTTATCTTATCATTGCATAGCTTACTTAACTCATGCATTGAGATTCACCTATGAAGTATTCCTTATTCCTCTATTGAAGGTCAACACAGCTGACACATCTGTCTTATGCATGAACCTCTAAGATTAAAAGCAAGCGGGCTACTAGAAAATATTCCAGACAAGGAATAATCCTTAAGGACTTAAGTTGTATTTATGCAGTTACTTATAGTCATGGACTACTTCAATATGAACTTGTATAACGTCCACAGACATACATTGCTTTTTCCATACCAATTTTGGCAGCACTATCTACAAATGAAGTCTCCTGGCCCATTAAGCATAGTCAATAAGTAGACTAGCGTACTATTTTTAGACATGGCAAGCACTGCATAAGAATATACTATAGTCTCCTAGATGGCAATAATTAATAGTGGGGGCAGGAACTTGAGCAACTGAAATCTATGTTCAGTGTAGGGGAAGTATCAGTCCATTCCTCTCAACTGCATCTGCCAGTTATACGCCTGTTTCATGTACACCCTAATACCCATGGTATGATCTTGAGGGCTGCCTTTTAATTTATGTTCATCTCAATTTCCAGATCCAACGGCCAGACAGCAAAATCGGCAACTGGATCCATGGATCAAGCCCTGGGACCCGCCAAGCCTGAAACCTAATATCCTAAATGCACAAAAAGGAGGCAAGTGAGAATGTTTTCAGAATACAAAGACTAGGGAGAAGTACGTTGTGAGAAATTGGCTAACAGACGAGGCAACTACAAGCGATGAGCAGTGCAGGGCTATATCTCTGTTGTAAACGTGTTAGATACCGGCGGAGACACCTTAGATGAATCCCAGGCATTCTTGTGTCTAATTGGTTACTGATATCAATAAACTTTGTTCGACAACGTGCTAAGAAGACAAATGAATGTCAGTTTGGCCCCAGAAGCTGGTATGATCCAGGAATACAATAAGGTAGTGTCTCACTTGCCAAAGTTTAACTCAACCAAGGACATGTCTGGCCAGTGACCGAGTCTTGGAATTGGCCATGTCACTGATAGCTGACCCAGGAGTTAGTAGCACTAGTACCCCGCATACAGGTATACAAGGAGTGCAGCATCTATATTTCAGTTGTTAATGCCGAATGTTCAGAATTGAGATCTGCCGCCAGTCCCTCAGGCAGGTCTGTGATCTCGATTCGAGGACGATCATTTCTCGAGGATTACGGAATCCGGGCATGACGGACACCGGGAAGAATTTTCACAATAAACTTTCCCAGAAAAGGACTCAAATTACAGTCTCAGCCAATCAGACGGCCTCGCCTTATTTCATCGCAACGTCTCAGGCTGAGAGCGACCCAGAAAGAGCAGCAGCCATGTGAGATGGCATATGATACGATAAGCATGAACCAAACTTTTGGTTGAGCGGCTAAAGCGAATGATATGCGAAGAATCGAGGCTGCTGCTGGTCCAGTCCAGGGCGTTATATGAGGCTGACTCCCTGCTTCCCAGTAGACTGCGTGTTCCTGGCTCTCCGCAAGCCCGAGCGACGGCCGATTTCTCTCAAATTTTGTCTTTCACGTAACTTATATCTGGCAGGCCCCGCCTGGTGGCGTCTGGTTCCTGAGAAATCACCTCACAAGTTTGCGAGGGTCCTTACTGTTCGTTACTACGAGAGGAAATGGACGACGCAGGAAAAGGTGGCTGACCCGACGGTTGTGTCTTCAAAATCTCTTATATTCTCTATACACACATAGCCTGCTACTACTTGCGCCGGCATCATCCCTGTAAAAGGGCACTATCACCATGATTGAGTCTTCGGAGGAATGGGTGTGGATGGCCGTGGTGCTGCTCATCAGTACATTAATCCTCCTGTCACTTCTAGAGTCCACAATCTAACAGACATCGAACAGCAACGCTGCGCTATGTGTCTCGCATTTTGCAGATGGGTTCTCCTCGGAACTTCCAGATGGAGGATCTGGTTATGGCGGTGGTAGTAGTACGTTCTTGCTCTGCAATTTCACTGAGGTCATGGATGGATTCTAACCCCCTCTTAGATATTCTACATATTGCTTACCGTTTTCCTGGTCCAAGTCAACAAGTACGGCACCAACGGAATCCCCCCGAGTGAGTTCGAAACGCTTGATAAAGCGACAATCCCAGACCGCATCAAAGGCAGTAAGATGGTGGTGGCAGTCGAGCAATTTTGGCTCATGGTGGTCTGGGGATGCAAATGCTGTCTGCTGCTACTATACTCGACCATGACGTGAGCATCCCAACACTCCCATCACTCTTCCCCTCTAACACCCGTCCCTGCAGCTCCGGCCTCTGGCAACACCGCGTCGTCAAAGTCATCGGCGGGGTTTGCGCCTTCAGCTTCATCCTCATCGAGATCCTCTTCTTCGCCGTCTGGTGCCGCCCCTTCTCAGCATACTGGTCCCTCCCAGCCAAAAATGCGCAATGCTCTGTCTACACCAACCACGTCATCATCACCCTCGCCTTCAACGTCACCACCGACGTGCTGATTATGGCCATCCCCCTGCCGCTGCTCATCCGCGCCAAACTCTCCCTCTCGAAGAAACTCACCCTCTGCGCCGTCTTCTCCCTCGGCGCCTTCGTCATCCTCTGCTCCATCCTCTCCAAGTACTACTCCATCTCCAAGCCCTACGGCAATCAATGGCTGGAATGGTACGTCCGCGAGGCCGCCACGGCCGTCATCGTCTCCAACATCCCGCAGACCTGGACCCTCCTCCGCCGCCTCTTCAACTGGAAGTCCTTCCTGCAGCACTCGTCCTACAATCGCAGTCAGAACAAGTATGCCAGTCGTCTGGATAGCTCAACCATCCATCTCTCGCGCTTCAGGGGGGACAAGTCGGGAGTGCGCTCGACTATTGACCCTACCGAGTCGGGGGAGCATATCGTTCGCGAGCCGCCGTTGGAGATCTGGGCGCATCGCCAGTTTCATGTGACGAATGAGGTGGATGACACGCGGAGAAGCGATAGTTTGACTCAGAGCAGTGCCAGTCTGGAGTTTGATACCGCTACCACTGTTGGCGAGAATGGGCCGATGAAGACGACTGTGACGACTCTGCGATGATAGCCTCCACCTTTGATGTTCAACAAAGGTTGTACGGCTGTAATCGACATAGATTGTACAATAGACAAATCATAGACTGATTTCTTGCTTGGTATTCGGGCACAGACGGCGCATCTCCACTAGCCGTCAGTCTGTCCTTGCTGGAGACATATCCTCGAATGACATATAGACATTACCTATAGAAGCATGCTCCGTGCTCCAACCTCCGATGCGAAAAAGACATGTGTACGGTCAACTATGAGGCGTGAGATAGATGGTCCGACTCGAACGCAGCGAACGGTGCAATCGTCAGAAATAGACGCAACAACTACTGCAGTTGTCCAATCGAGCTACCAAACAGCTACAGCCGTCACCCAATAGGATTTTCAACATGAATATGTACAGATGAATATGTGCAAATATTACTGCCTCCAATCCCGTTTCAACACCGGAGCCGTACTCCCGACATCCGACCGCCCATCCACATCCTGCCGGATACTAGTATGCACCGTAATACCCTGCAACTCCACATCCGAGCTATTCCGGCTCGGGGTAGCCGCCGCATTAAGAGTCTTGGACGCCACCGACGCCTGTGTCCCATTCGGATCATCGATCGGCTGAAACCCATCGTTATGTGTCCGCGATGTGGAAAAGGGGAGTTTGGAGGCGCCCGAGGGCTGCGAGTAGCCTTTCGAGACGCCGCTTTTGACCTTGCCGAGGAAGCCTTGGACGAGGGGTTTGAGGAGCGGGAGGCAGCCGCAGATGATGGCGACGTCGAGTTCGAGACAGGTCCAGATGGATTCTTTGGCGCTGGAAGCTGGGGAGGGTTAGTGGCATTTTTGCAGAAGGGGAGAACGAAACCTACAGGCCAGATCGGTGACGACGAAGTGGCGGAACTCGATCAGGCGCATGAGACTGAAG